TCTAACTTTAAATATAAGATTATTTCCAAGATCATGGCTGACAGGTTGGCGTCCATTATGCCTCTTCTCATCTCCAATGAATAACATGGTTTCATTCATGGTAGGAACATCTAGGATTGTACTTGTCTTGCATCTAAAGCTATCATTGTTTTGGATAACCGCAACAAGAATGGTAATCTTGCTTTGAAAGTAGACATTGCTATGTTGTTCAACACTTTGAATTGGGATTTCTTGATCAAGGTTCTGTATCAATTCAGCTTCAATCACACATTTGCAGCTGGATTAGTACTTTACTCTCCTCAGATACTCTCTCTATTAATTTTAACGGTTCCCAACACGGGTTCTTCAAGTGTCATAGAGGAGTGCGGCAAGGTGATCTATTGTCTTCGCTCTTGTTTTGTCTTGTTGAAAACGTGCTCAGTCGTAGCATCTCCAACTTAGTTTCTCGGAGTAACTTGGAGATGCTAAGATCCTCTCGTAATAATATGGCCCCTTCTCATATTTTCTATTCGGATGACATTCTTATTTTTTGTACTGGAAGAATGTCCAACATCAATGCTTTGATGGCAATCTTTCATGACTACTCTATGGCGTCGAGGAAATGTTTTAGGTAGGGAAATCTTGCATTTTTTTAAGGCTCAATCAATGAAAAAATGCTTAATACCATTGTTAGTGATACAGGTTTTATCAAGGGCTCCCTTCCATTTACTTATCTTGGTATTCCTATTTTCAAAGGTCGGGTTAAAGCCACACATCTGGTCCACATTGCCGAAAAGGTCATAAATACTTTGTCTGCCAAGAAAGGTTCTTTGCTGTATATGGCAGGGAAACTTACCCTTATCAAAGCCTTTATACAGGGTATGCTTTACTACACAATGTCAATCTATTCTTAGCTGATTTCACTGATTAGAATTGTTGAGAAAGCTTGTAGAAATTTTCTCTGTACCGAGAATATTTATAATAGGAAGTTGTGCATGGTTGCTTTGAAGAAAACTTGCATCTTGTTTCAGAATGAGTGTCTGGGTCCGTGTTTGTTGATCCATTTAAATGACGCAACCAATCTCTGGTTTTTGTGGTAGTTGCGTACCAGTTTTGAATCGTGGGTTATCCTCATCCATTGTTGTATTTTTCAGCCTAGGGGGCTGATCAAATATCATATTTTCTCTACCATTTGAACCGGTATAAAATCCGAGTTCGATGATCTTTGTAGAAATTCTTGTTGGTCTATTAGGTCAGGCAAGGACTTTTTTTTTCTGGACCGATGCTTGGGCCGGTCAACCATTAATCCATCTCACTTCCTTAGACTTTTTTTGGTCTAAAGATATCTTGATTAACTCTAAGTGTCTGACTTTTATGTTGAGGGACATTGGCGTTTCCTCCTTCCTGAGAAGTTTGGTTTCCTTTCCTTGCTTTAAAAATTCCTTTGAACACTTTAATGCATCCTAACCTTTTGGACAACTTGGTTTGGAAGCATAGCATTTCTGGTGATATCTCTCTCAAGGATGCATACACTTTTAAGTCTGGTATTCTCCTTAAACATCCATGGGTGAATATTATTTAGAGTGGTAATTTTCCGCCTTGTAATTCCTTGCTGGTGTGGCGTTTGTTCCATGAAAAAATTCCTACGGATGACCATCTCATGGCTAGAGGCATTGTTATGGTGTCGAAGTGTGGATTGTGTAATTCTGATATCGAGACAACTTTACATATATTTTTTTTAGCTCAGATTTGTGGTTTCTATTTAGAAGTTCCTCACTCATAAGTTAGGGTTGCCGAATGTTCCTAGATCTTTAGCTGATTGGCTTACGGTTTTAGTACCGAAAAAACATCGCACGTTGGTTTGATTTTGAAAATTTCTCTCCTCCTCTTCCTTCATCAAATTTGGTCTGCTAGGAATAAGTTGAAGCATGAGAATCTTACTACTACCCTCAGAAATTCTATCACTTGGAACTCTTCGCGGATTAGGCTAACGGGTAATAACACGGTTAAGCTTTCCTCCATCTCTATCTCTAATTTTGTCTTCCTGAAGGCTTTTGGTGTGACTATTCGCCCTTCGAGGGCTCCTAATATAACTGAGATTCGTCGGTCTCCTCCTTTGTTTGGTTGGGTTAAATGCAACTATGATAATGCGTTTAATCTAGGCATTAATACTAGTGGTTGCGGTGATATTTTATGAAATGAGCTTGGTAATTTCCATTTAGCTTTTTCAGAAAAGGTTTCTTATGCTTCTGCTCTTCCTGCAAAAATTTTGGCGATTATTGTGGCTATTGGTATGGCTCTTGAGCGTGGTTGGTGTAAGCTTTGGATTGAAATAAACTGTGCTTTAGTTGTTAAAGTTTTATCCAACCCGGGCTTAGTCCCTAGGGGTCTCTGGAATAGATGGCCTGCTAGCACTAATCCATCTAACTTTTCTAACTTTCTAATTAAGCATATTTTTAGGGAAGGAAATTTGTGCGCATATTTTTTTGCAAATATAGGTATGAGCGCTAATACTATGATAGTTTTTGACTCAATCCCAATTGGAATTCGGGATGATTTTATAACGAATAAGTTAGATATATCTTTCTTTAGGTTCTCTTCTTTTTGATGGGGCGGTGTTAGTCCCTTCTTGACTGTACTTTTTTTTCCTTTTCTAATGAAAGCTCTTATTCAAAAATATATTACTATTTTAATATCAAAACTGAGCATCCTTTAGATGATAAAGTGGAGAAAAATGGTTCTCCAATACAAATGATATACTTCAATCATTATGAAGAAAGTGAATTTAAATCATTAACCAATTGAAGATAAATAATATGATGGATTGAGTATATGTTAGAACATTAACAAATTTAAAACAAATTATCCGAACAAATATTTTTTCTATTTTCATTTTATTTAAATCATCATCTTTTTAGGTTGCTATCGTAACTATACATACAATTGATTTAACGGTTAAATAAAATTTTATTAAATATTTAATTATTAAAATTAAATTTAATTATTTAACTAGACAAAGAAGTGTTAAAATTTAAAACTAAAAGAAAAAAGGCTATACAATTGTACAACAGAAAATTAGTATGGGTACGAGCATGGGTAATTATATATTAAAATAAGTGGATATTAATCACTATTCAAATACTTTAGTATTCATCCTGCTCTATCCCAATATACTATATATTTATATATTTTAATGTATATTATTATATACAAATGCACATCTATCACTTTTATAAAATACATCTATATTAAACTATTACACATTTAAATATAAGCATTTGATTATTATAGAATTCAACGATATAATCTTTGAATATTTTGTTATTATTTTTAAAATTTTAAATGACATAATAATTTTTAATTGATCGATTCATTTTTATTAGAAGTGCAGGTAACGAGTATGTCCACTTATGCACCCGTAGGATACGAGTACAAGTATAAAAGTTAATGTCCACACTGGTATGGGCTCGGGTACAAAGACTTTTTCAAACTACAAATATTAGGACAAATATTATATTACCCTTCCCAAACACTATCCATTACCATCCCTATCGGGAGATGTGTTAATCATATTATTTGATTGGTTGTTCTTCAACGATTTAGGCGGCCATTTGAGCACTTTTCAAAGATACCTAGCATACTTGAATCTTCTAATTCTTAATTGATATGAATGTATCCTTTTGAGTGTTCTTAATCTCTTCTCGAAATTAAGCAATTTGGGAAGGAAATTTGAGCATTTTGGAAAGCTAATTTTTCAAATGCTATCTCCCAGCCTGGCTTATTTTATTAAGTTATAGGTTAACTTGGTTAACCTCCATGGTATCCCTTTTGTCTTTGAGGTATGTCTTGTTGGTATCTCCATGAAATTTTCTGGTGATTCTTCCATTTTAAATTGTAAGTGTTTGCTTAGGGATTATCTTGTTAATGAGCGACTTTTATTTAAAGTTGTTAATTTATAATATCAATAACTTGCTTACATAATGCATAAATATAAATAATATTACCGACATGGATTGAACTTTGGACCAAAAACTTGCACCAATTTAAATTAACTAGAATATAACAGTTGAGCTACCACACCCATACCTTGAAGACCGACTTGGTTATTGAGGTAATTTTCCTAGTGTACATGTCTTACAATATTTGAAGAAGCTTCACAATTCATTGCAAAGTGAAGTCTTTCACATAGTTAACATCCTATTCGTTGAATTTGAGAAATCAGAATATTTAATGCATCTAACTTTTTTCCACTTCGGATGTTAGTTGTTCTTGAAAATTTTTGTTTCTATCTTCCGCAAACTTTAGATCAACTGAATTGTCTGCCAAACAACTCCAAATGTTCATTGGCAACGATAGCTTAAATTATTTTTATAATTTGGGTGGCGGTTTTGAAGTATGAGAAATAGCCAATTGTTCTATCCAATATTATATATATATATATATATATATATATATATATATATATATATATATATATATATATATATATATATATATATATATATATATATATATATATATATATATATATATATATATATATATATATATATATATATATATATATATTATTTGTGAGATCTAAGTTATGAATTAGGCATACAATTAAGATTCTCTTTAATCTCCTGTAGGCTTCACCAAGCGATTCTTTATCCTTTTTTCTAAAAGTGGCTATCGCTTCCAAACAAAAGAGAGATATTTTGAAATATTATTTAAGAAATGTAATCTCCATTTGAGCCCAATAGGTGATGTTGTCTGGTGTCAATTTTCATACTAATATCTTGCATCATTAATTAGAGTAAAAAAAGTCCAACTTAATCGCTTACCTCAGTAATGTCCTTTTACCTTGACATTTATTCACATGGTGAGGAAGCACTTCAAGTGCTTATTTACATATTCATTAAGCCTTCTTGCAAATTACTTTTGTTTATGTTGGTGATGTAGAGTTATGTTGAATTTAGACTTCTCTATGGTTATACTAGAGAGAAATTGAAAACAACAAGAGAGGTTTTAGTGATAGTATGGAGATGCCATCATATTTATATTTATATTCCATTCAAGAAGATGAAGTTAATTTGCCACCACACATTCCACCATTCAACAATGTTTCAGCTAATGAGAACAAAAGCCTTTCTCCTAAAAAAAAACCTACCAAGAAAATTCAACATTGGAATGCAAAAGAGCACAGGTATATATAAAATTCAACAAGTCTATGTTTCTATCTTTTCTTTCGGTTAGATTAATCATTTTATTTATCACATATTTTTCATTAATATTTTAACTCACTTTCAATTTTTATTTATAGGTTATTTTTAGAAGGACTTGAAAGGTTCGGCAAGGGAAATTGGAAAAAGATTTCAAAGCATGTTGTTTCAAAATCATCAACTCAAGTTGCTAGCCATGCTCAAAAGTATTTCATCAGAATTCAACAAAATAATAATTTATCAAACAATAAGATGGAAAGAAGAAGCAAAGTTGACAACAGTCCTTTATTCTATGGAAAATTTTACCCTGTTGAGGCCTTTAACTTCATCCAAACACAACCATTTATAGACGAATTCCTAAAACAACCAATTCCACAAGTCCAAGAATAGTTTTTTTTTTCTTCTATAAAATTTAAGTCATAGCTCTTTAATCTATTTCTTATTTTTGATAATTCAGAGAACCTTTAGTTGGTTTATCATGTAGCAATTTTATCATCAAATTAAAACTTGTATATATTTATTCTACTGTTTTACTTCTTCTATATTTTTAGGTTATGCATAATAATTTCATATGTTAAAATTTATTTTTAACCATTTGACCTGTTTATAAATTTTTATTTAGATACAAAAAATTATAACAACAATTTAACCTTTGTGTTTTATATATTTCTCGTATTAAATTTCTTATAACAACTTTGAGTTTTAATAAAACAATTTGTTTAAAAATGATCAAAGACCAAACTACACAAGACAAGAAATAAGCCTTAGGCATAAATTTTACAAACAAAATAATTTATGGGTATGGTCTATAGAATTCTTGTAAAAACTTTGAAACCAATCCCATGAAATGAGTTTGATGTTTTCCATCATATCATTTTCTTTTAGGACTCCTCCTTGGAACATAATGGAATTCATACTAAGCCAAATTATCTAGCAAGTAATTGACCAAAAACCAAAAATATAGTTTTCCACGAATTTTGACTTGATCCGCCTGCAAAATTAGGATAGGTGAGAGATGATGGAACTAGCATTCTTCACCTCTACGATCCAAAGCCAATCAGTGACCATTCTTCAAATTCAGTTTCTCTCCTTACAAGAAACGAACAAATGAAATTCATCTTATTCCACATTTAAATGAAGGAGTAAAAATCCCATTATAGCTTGTTAGCTGAACTGTTGGAATCCATAAAAATTCTTTTGACATTCCTGTCGTGAATATGAAGGTTGATTACCAGGGATCATCCTCATGGAAGATGATCCCCTCTGCATCCCTACTAAAGAAATTGATTTCTGGTGTAAGAGTGGCTCTTACCTGGAACAATTCTCTATCAATGTGCATCTCCTATCTAATATACTTCTTCCTGGATGATTTGGATTTTCTGTCTCATGCATACCCTTAAGCTATTTTGTTCACAGTATGATGTAGTTGGTCAGACTCATGTTTTTCCTTGATACCATACATCATTTTGGGCTGAAGAGTTTTACGTCTAGTTTCCCTTTGTGGCGAGGCCTTTCGTTTTCAATTTTGAGCATTTCCTTGCACATGCCACTTTTGTCGTCCTACTTGAATTCACTTTTCTATTTATCATTTTAAATGGTTACATTCATCAGTGTGATGACTCTGAATCTTGTGGTACTTACACCATTTGCTTGGATCATTTACCAAGGAATATCATTTTGGAGCGTGAGGCTCTAGAATGATTTTGATGTGTTAAGCATATTTTAGGATATGTTCCCTCCAATATTAAGTGGAGTGAAGCTTTCGAGGGGCTTTCAAGCGGGCTTGAAAATAACTTTTTCACGAACCAGTATTATATTATGATTTTTCTTGTGCCCTTATGATTTTGGCTTACCACTTTGCTCTTTCATGTCCCTTGTCCTTTTTTCGGGGTTATTTTGTTCTCCTTTGATGTGGCATTTCTCTCTAGATGTGATATCTTTCATCAAATATGGTAGCTTATACGCTAAAGACTCATTAAAATGTATCACCTTTAAGTCATTTTGGAATGCCCTCAAGAATATCTCTGGTTTTGGATGGGAGACCTTGATGGTTTCATCATTGAAGCACATCGCATATTCTCTTAGGATCTCAGAATAACCTTGAAGAACATTGAAATGGATTGGTGGAAATTTTCCTGTACTTGTTAGTCTAAAAGTGATGAACAAATAATGTACCTCGCATATTCTCTTAAGGTCTCATAATAATGTACGAACAAATACAGTCACAAAGGGAAGCAATAAAGGTACAAGATGTGCACTACAAGCTCACTAATGAGAAGCTAAAAAATATAGGGTTAATAGTCATATACCCCTCTATAATATAGGCGAATTTTGATTTACCCCCCTTAAATTTTTTTTGATACATTTCTTAAAATGTTAAAATTCTAAGTCTTTTACCCCCTAGGGGCAAATATTACCTCCTGTAAAATAATTTTTTTATTTACCCCCCTCACTTTTACATGCTTAGGGGTACCTAAAAAGTTATAGGGGGGTAATCAATTTTTTTTTTAAGTGGGGCAAACCAAAACTCTCCTATATTTCAGGTGGAGTAAATGACTATTATTCAAAAATATAAGACAAAGATAACGAACAAAAACAAAAATTACCAATTGAAGAATCAAACTAGATCTCTGAAAGATAAACAACCATCAACAAAATAGAATACTCCACAGACAACTTAGGACCACACCCCAAAAGAATCAGAAGACACACTTGAACCGCTACCCAATTGGAGAAATAACAAACATACCCATTCGACCTACCAAGAAACCATTTTCATGCAAGAGAGATACACTTAACTTCCAAGGCCTCCTCATTAATCGATGTTCTTGAAAATATTAATTTGTTCTTGGATTTTCAGAGAGTCCACACTACTAAATTCCAAATCATTATAAGACCACCTCTAATTCTAGCCACATCTCCTAGGGAGGTAAAGAGCTGAAATAGAGAAACAATGTCACCTAGAAATACAACTATCCTCCCTGGCCATGAAAAATCCTATACCATAAAGAAGAAGAGACTGAACAAGTGACAAACAAATAGGAAGCCGACTCTACAGGCCCAACACATAAACTACAAGAATAACTAGTAGAATATAATATAACCTTCATGATATGAAGATTCTTCCTAGTCGAGATTCTATCCCGAATCAAGTGCCAAGAAAAAGCCATCATCTTTGAGGGAGCCCGACTACCCCAAAAAGACGCTAAAGCACAACCTAAGGGTGAAGGATGTAAGTATGAAATGCGCCTAAGAGGGAATGGGGGAGAATTAGGTACTATAAAATTTTGTTGGTTTTAGTAATGAAGGATATATTATTTTTTCTGATTTATGGTGAGGTTATGAAAGCGATAAAGTGCAGAAAAATAATCGACACAAGGATGTATCCTAGTTCCCTTCACAGTCTGAAGGTACGTCTAGTCCCCTTTCAACACGAAAGAGATTTCACTATTGTTAGATCTTTGTAAAAACCTAATCCCAAGACTTCTCATATAATCTTATAACAATAAAACCACCAAGAACAATCCTCTTGGATTTTCACTAAGTACACTGAGAAAACAATTCTCTCTTAATGACTCTCTTACTTCCAACAATCCCGGACAACAAGGTTACAACAAGTATTCTGAATTTTTTATAAGAGTTTTAAATGATATAGACAATGTGTCAATCACTTGATTGGTGTTCTCTTTCAATCATGCAATTTATAAAGATAATAGGTGCTCAAATGTTGATGAATACTCTATGAATTTTTCGGGCTGGTTTATGAAAACAATGTAGAAAAATTCCTTTGAAAATTTGATAATCACAACACTTGATTGAAAATTTGTATGAACAAAGATATAGTTAAATTGCAATTGGAAGAGGTGAATTTTAAATATGAAAATATAGAGATTATATAATGCCTTAACACCCTTTAGAAAGTGTGCAAATTATTGAAACAATCTAAATTTGAAAAGGTTTAAGATGGAAAACATGAAGAATTTAGAACAGTCATATTTGCCTCTGGTCAACTCAGGAAATCGATTTACCAGTATGGGTAATCGATTTCCACCTAGCGTTGTGTCTAAAAATTTGAAAAAATGTTCAGGAAATCGATTTACCAAAATGGGGAATCGATTTCCATGTTAAAAAAATAGTTTTATGGAAATTAAAAACTGCTTCAGACCAGTGCAAATTAAGGCGGTTTTTGGTGCATTCTTAGAGATTTCAATGCTATACTGGTGCTCACGAGCATCGAGATCGTAATATTCCATGGAGAATTCCTATGGAGGACTTCAAAGATTGGATTGATTTTAATAATTTGTTAGATTTTCCAACTAGTGGTCCGGTTCTCACTTGGTTTAATGGTAGGAGTGGTGTTGCTTCGGTTGAAAGGAAACTTAATAGAGAATTCTACAATAATTGTTGGTTTGATTCTTCTCAAACTGTTAAAGACACTGTTTAACCTAGATAGGGTTCAGATCATCATCCTCTTTTGGTGGAGTCTTCTTACACATCGGTTAAAATTGCTTCTCGCTTTCGGTTCCTTGAGATGCAGAGTCTGCATGATAACTGTAGAGAGTTCATTGCCAATTCTTGACTCAAAATATGGTTGGGTGTCCTTTAATTGTTTTAAGTAAAAAGCTTCAAAACCTTAAGGCTTGTCTTAAACAATGGAACAAAGAGGTCTTTGGCAATATTCATGATTTGGTGAAATCGTCTCCGCGTAAGTTGGAAGACATACAAAAGAATATTGGTACTGGTGGTCCTTCTGATAATCTTCGGATCCAGGAGCAAGCTTGTATGTTTGATCTTGAAAAAATTTAAAATTAGAGGAGGTTTTTTGGGCAGAAAAAGCCAACCTATAATGGCATATATCTGGGGACAGAACCACTTCGTTCTTTCATAAGATGGCTGAAATCAAAAGATCTCAAAACTTTATCTCCTCCCTAAAAGATGGTGATTCCCTTATTACGAACCAACAATAGATAGTCAACTTGATGGTTAATTATTTCACTAATCTTTTTGGTTTCGTAGGGAATGTTCAACCTAATTCCTTTGTGATTGACTCCATTCCATCTTTGGTGGATCCTTAATTAAATGCTCTACTGACTATGTGGCTCTCTACTAATGAAATCACTTTCGCTGTGCATAATCTTCGCAAGAATAGCGCTCCCAGTCCAGACGGCTTTGGTAGATTGTTTTACCATCTCTATTGGGACATCATTAAAGTTGATGTTTGTAACGCAGTCACTCAATTATGCACTTCAGGATGGCTCTTACTGAATTACAATTCATGCCCCATTATTCTCATTCCCAAGTCCAAAGATGCTCAGTCTCTCGACATGTACCGTTACATCACTCTTTCTAACTTTAAAAATAAGATTATTTCCAAGATCCTGGCTGACAGG